TTGTATACCATACTATATAGGTGCTTATTAAAAAATATTGAAGAAAATATTATCATTGACCATTGTCGAGTCGTGCCAGTGTAATAATGAATTTAAGATTGAAACACGATTAATCGAAATCCACAACCCCTATTCGAAATTACATATTTCAATAGGTATTGCCTATTAACTATATAGGTATATATTATATAATGTAAAATTCCTATAGTTACTTTTACCARTAAGAACTTGATGAGCATAATTTTTTTGCAATTAAATWATATTATTACACTCTATCCAGCGAGAGAACACGCCACGGTCCGACGAAAATTGGTTCTTCTGCGTATCCCAGCGTGTACCCTGCCCTTCCATAGTAGAACCAAATTCGTTGACAGAGTTCTGTGTGATTATGCACAGAATCAGATGTGTTCTATTGCTGGATAAAATATACGTTGGTACCTAGGTATTTAATATAAAGCAGTGTGCTCCATGAAAAATTGTCTGATATCAAAAAAAATCATTTTACTGGTTTTGGTCGCAGCGCGATCAAGTGAACAAGTTGAAACTCTGGTTTTTCCACCTCTACCAACAACTTTTGAAAAACTGATTGAAATAATCTATAGGCACGAGCTTGGTCATCATAATTTTATAGCCTTTATATAGACTTTATAGCCATTGCGAGAGGGATGAGGCATATCAATCATTTTTGAGGAAAATATGGGGAAAAAAAACTTGATGACTATTTTGATTGGTTACTGTTTTTATTTTGTAAGAGTAATACATTAATCTTTTAAGTAGTTTTGAAACCAAGACATTATTCATGGATCACCCTGCAGTATTGTGCATTTATTGAGAGCTCATCAAGATATATTTCACCAAGGCTTAAGCCAATTAAACTGCAGAGTTCCATTGCTACTAGATTGGTGCAGTTCAACGATATGATCTCACAAATAAGAAACTAGTTTTTCGCAATTAAATACATGTTATATAGAAATTATACATGGCAGAAAATATATTAAAAATACTTCAACACTAAAATATTACGTATCGCAGTATATATCCGTTTATAATTATTTATGTGGGTGGCTTACGATAATAAACAAACAGGTTCTTATTATTAACTATCCAGTCATTAATTGCAAAGATTGATAAATTATAATATTTGAAAACTTATTAACGGAGTTTTATGTTACTCGGGTTCAATTCRAGTTTCTTTAATATTCTTATTTCTTACATAAATACCGTCAACGATAGTGTTACTTATTTAACTAATAAAATATTTGGGCATAAAATTGATATTGAAATCTCTAAACTACGTATCGTATAATAAGTGGAGTAAGAGATGAGAGCCAACTTGAAAAATGATAATCTTAGAAAATTTCAAATATTAGCAATGTCCATTTATTTGTTGCTTATTAATATGGTTTATGAGTTGATCAAAATAGTATAAATTATAAATATGAATAAAAATTGATATACAATTATGTAAAATTATTTATCGTTCTCGTCATATTGACTAAATGGTAACATTGGACCGGTTTACAAGAAATAGTATGGTATTAATAACCAATTATTATGGTAGTATTATAACCATTTAATATAAATATAAATATTATTGATATACCTACATTTTTGTCTTTGATTTATTAATTTTACATATATCTTATATTTGTGTTTTTAATATTCTTTGATAAAATACAATATTGTACAAGATGATTTTTTAAACGTAACGTTTTAGTGTCAAGAGTTAATCTAGATTAACAGTTAATTTATTGTTGTTACCTATTATATGGTATCACGATGTAATCCACTCGAAAATAAGTAGGTAATAACTAATTAGTCCAGTTTTGTAAAAATAAATGGTCTGATGATCATGAATGACTTATATTTTATAATTTATTAAGTAATAATATTGTGTGGTTCATTTTMTTTTTCTATGTAGGATGGATGCTTCTTATTATTGCGTGGTAATACGTTTTGATCAATAGATATTTACTATAGCTTTTTATTTCGTCTGCGTATTATTTTAACAAGATGTTCGAATAATAATGTCCAACCATAATGGCAAAATGTATAAAGTACATTTAGAATTTCGCCAAAATCATTGATTTTTGTCTTGTCACTCACATGTACCTGCATAATATAATATTATACAATAAACGTAAATACTTAAGACTCAGTGCTTTCATTCATTATTCTGTAAATAATTGTATTCTAGTAGATTTACAGAAAAACAAATAATTATATTGAAAACACTAAGCGCTTATAAACACGGCAAGAAACTCGTTTACTGAATAAGAAGTCATGAATAAATATTGGATGTCACGAGTATACTTTCGTTCTAACACTACGTACCTTCTCCAGTCAAGTGTGTACATTATAGATATGTACACACTATAGACACTAAATTATATAATTGGAAAAACGATCGTGTAATCGACCTCAAGACGATGTGTTTTTGGTTTTTAAAACAATATAATATTGTATATTTTTTTTGGAAACAGAATACATTTAACAACAACAAAAAACCATTGTTTTATTAAAAATTATTAAAAAACGAAAAATATCAGCAGTAATAGTAGCATAATAGCTTTACCGTGTCAAATTACGGGATGTACCGATTTTTATGTACTTGATTAATCGATTGCAAATTTTTTCACGAGTGTTGACGAGGGTAATTTAAGTTAATAACTAGACCATGAATTTTAAGAAAAGTTACCTCTATTTCCATATTTATAAAGGCATAATGCTAATAATTCTGATAATACCACGTCTTTAGAGTTTGAATGAACCTACCGACATAAAAAAAATTCGAAGTGTTAATGAACTGTTAAAGTCTTGCAGGCACGGATAAATTAAATAACATGATATTGCGCAAAGTGCTAAGACCAATAAAAAATAAATAAATATTGTTTCGACGATCTACGTGATTCGTATAGATAATATTGTATGAAAACATATAATATTGTGTACATATAGATATATGCACGTCGGCTCACAAAAAAATATTAAAAGTTTTCACGTAACAGATTTACCTATCAATTGACATAATCTGTTAGAGGGTTTATGGTCTTTGACTTATTGTGTCTAGTTACTGGTTAGGTTATACAATGTCTCGTCTAGTAGCATACTGCAATGTGTAATGTGTTTAATTATACCCAGCTGATATTATATACCATTCACATGATAATTTGTTAACGTTACCACGCATTATTATATATTGGTTAAATTTTGTACTTTTCAGAAATGCGTTTTCACGTATTGATAAATATCTAAAAGTACATATTTTATATAGATAATATGGTAAGATATACAGCTAAAAAATAAATAAATAATAATTGTTTTGTAAGATTTTTAATACCTCKGATTTATTTTTCTACATTTTTAGCTTCATTACCTGACGAAACAAGTTACTTTTATAATATTGTGGTTACATAGAAATATCAAATACATATAGATTAAATAGTGTATTTATACTAATGATAATATCTTAATTTTAGATAATATCGGAGGAATATGTGGACCGCTACTCCACTTATCTACACGTAGAATCCTTATTAATAAAAATATATTTGTTCAGTTTACACGCATATAAATTTAAAAAAATTCTGCTCCCGCGATTATGAAACTATGAAACTAAAAAGAAATCGATTTGTAAAAATAATAGCTTTAACATTTTGTTATGATTAGTAATTTTACTAACTTAAAACTATGTGAAATATTTTTTATAAAAGCGTAAAAAAATATATAAATAAAGATTTAAATATATAGTGGGTGGTTTTTAATGTTTAAAAAAAAAGGACTACCTGGGTACCCAGTGATGTAAATAGTAAATAGTACATAATATGATAATTTTAAATAAAATAGCATAATTAATCAGACTTAGTCGATGACCAATATACAATAAAAAACAATATACACTCCTAATAAAAATAAATAGGTATTTTAAGATCCCTAAGCTATTTTACATACCATATTATTACAATACTGTTGTGGTTGTTTAATTAAGAAATCATCGATAAAAATAACAATAATAATAATAACTTACTTCAATGTGTATGAAATACACTATATTTACTATGTTAAGATTACGCTATTTTCGTGTATTAATATGTGTTTTGTAAGTCACTATATACCATATATATTGTATGTATGTGTGTATGTTTGTATGCGTACATGCGTAATGTATATAATGTATAAGAATTTATATATTTATTAGGTTAAAAAGTTATATAATTTTTAGAATTATGTATTATTTTTTTTAATAACATAAATAATTATTTTCAGCTCTATACGTATTAATTCACACACTATCTGCTAAAACAATTGGTAAGTGTAATATAAGTTAAAAAATTCGTAAAAGTGAAAATAAAATAAAACGCACATACGATTTATACTCAAGTAATTATTTCATATTTCCGCTTTTTACCTGATTCGATCTAAAATAATAATTATTTATAAAATGTGGACTATGTAAATAATAATATTAATTTTTTATTCTATYATCAATATGAAATAAACTCTAAAAATTTGAAATTTAACTTTTTATAATTAAATTTATAACATCAATAAAAACAATAATTATTTTTGCTGATACAAAATTTCAAAACTGAGAGTAAAATTATTTTATTTTCAAATTCTACTATATTAATTTTAGTTATTATTGTTATTCATATTCTACTCTTAGAATTGTACTTAAGAAAAATGTATCCAGAAATAGTTTTAATAAAAGTTTAAAATTAAGTTTAAATCAATACATGTAGATAATAAATAAAATTTTCATTCGAGTGACATACATCATGTAGAATTAATAATAATAAAATGTATGCAAATAATTTTATTACTAAAGTTTGAATATGAAGAAAAAAAATGTATAAATATTAAAACACGAGTCACACGTAAAACCACTGCTATTGTAATAAAAATCGTAATTAAATTGAAAAAATAAAGACTAATATTATATTTGAATATAAGTGTTTATACATAAAAATAAGATTTATAATAAGTTGTGTTCTACTAACCTGGAGTATCATGGTGATGTTGTTGATAGACGTTCTGGATGGCGACTAAGCCAGTCTCAATAACAATATCACGACGACGATGAGCAGATCGTAACGGTAACCGGTCCCCTTGTGGAGAACCATCATAGTCTCCGGGGGGCGAAAATTTCACTTTTTAAGGTCACGGCGATTGATGATCTCAACATGAACAATGTGAATAATAATAATAAATCCCTCGTGAAATGATATATGATTAGATAGTAGTATAAATGCATAAAGCTTCCGGATATTCTTATTAACGAATCAACCATTGGGAGGTATGTAGGTATATATTACTGTATAGATGAGACAGGCAAGTAATAAATACGAATCTTTGAGTGAACTCAGTAAAATATGGATATCATTTATCAAAAATAAATAATAATAAATAATAAAACCATGGGAGAATTTWCAATATTTTTGATCTTTTAGTAGTTAATATCAAATACCTAATAAATGTAGACTTACAAGTAAGATTTTTCCCTTAACCATCTTTATATATCTATACTTTTATAATATTTTTAGTATTTTATTAAATTAATAGTGTTTGTATATATTAGGTATGCATTGTAGTTAAATAGTTTCAAAAAAAATATTACAAGCATGTTCTAAAAAATATAAGACTCCTTGGAATCAATAATTAATCAAAATTGAAAATATAAAAAAAAAGCAACCATTAATAATGCATTCTTCATATATTATATATATACATATTTTTTTTTTTATTAAGCATTGACAAATATCGATTACTGTATTTGTTAACAAAAATAAAATTAATAAAATAGCAACAATTATTAACAAATAATTTACGCGAATAAACTCTTAAATATACTTAGTTTTTTAATAATGGAACAAAATATATTGGTAAAAAAAAAAAAACATGATATAATTATTAACCATTCTAATTTATTATTTGATATGTATTATATTAATATAAATAAATATTAGTATTTTCCAATATATTCTTACACATAATCAAAARTAWTTTATTTTAAATACATACAAATTTATTGTGTACCAAACAGGTATATGTAAAAATTGTATAGAGGCCCATTTTTATTTTGAAATCAGAAATCGACGAAAGGAATAGTTTTTATTTAAGTTCACTAAACCTTTGTAACTAATGACATTTTGAAATTAAATGAACAGTTGCAAACAATTATTTTAAATGGAGTAGGCATTTTCGTGATGTCATTAGTTTTCTATMAGAATTTTTATTTTTTTAGTTTCTAGTGATTTAGTTTATACGAGGAAACAAATTATATTATATGGATTATGKATGTACGAATATATGCAGTTTGCTATGACATCGACGGTTTTATTTGTAAGTAAAAAAATAAGATTAARCTTGGTAGGTACATAATTTATAATGAAAACATATAATTTTTTTTTTTATTAAAACAATTAAATCTAAGGAAAATTGCCGGTTTCGATGAGTAACAAAAGAGAAATCCGAAAAAAAATATTAGGTACCAACTTGCTTATGTCTATAATTATATTGYATTCAGAGTTTTTAAAGTGAAAAGTCGTTAAAGTGCGTTTAAAAAACATATCGCACATTAATTTTAATCGATGTTTAAATGGATAATCAGGTTTTTGACATCGTTATTATTGTATTATCCG